AACTTATTTTTCTTCTGGACTTTGTTGGAGTGAAAGTGTGAGTCTAATGTAGAATCTCATCATTTATTATTATTTAAACACCTTGTGTGAAATGTCCCCCTGTGCAGCTGACTGCTTTTCTCTCAGTCGTGTTTATATATTTAGTGCAGTTTGTGTGAATAGAGTCATTGTGGCGCAGTGGAAAAATAGAGTTGCATGTACTTCTTCTTCTGTTTCCTGATTGCTACAGAAACAGATCAGAGGAAGTTCACTAGATGCTGTAAAAACAGACTGCAGAAAGAGGAAGCTGCTCTCAGCCTGAAACTCTTTCGAAGTGTGAAAATAAAGCTAAGAAAGACGCTCTTAGTTTGTGAACTCTTTATTATAAAAATCCAGTTTAAGTGTCTCCTGACGTCTGCTGAAGTTTTAAAAAATGTCTGTGGAAGGTTTGTTAAAATATTTATGTCATTGACCTTTTTCATGTTCCAGCTGTTTGAGTCGTCACATTTAAAAGCTCAGCACCTGGTTTTCTGAACAATATATAAAAACACATCAGATATACATATAAAACATTCTGTGTTTGTCAAATGTCAGCAAGTAACTTTATTTATTTATTATAGATGATTATGTGTTTGTTTCTCTAAAAGACTGAGGGCTGTGTGACCTGAATGTGATGTTAACACATGACAGGCAGGTTGCTAACAACGAGACTGTAACACAGAAAACACATATTTATTTTTATTCAACATGACGTCTGTCTGTTGGCAACATGTTCACAACACATCATCTACATGCCTGTTAAAGTCAGAGGTGGGTAGAGCAGCCCAAACTGTACTCAAGTAATAACTATAAATAACTAACTACATAAACTAAATAACTAAACAACAACTGCTTGAGTTAGAGTACAAAAGTATTTACTGAAACATTTGCTTGAGTAGTGAGTATCTGTGTGAGTAACTCAAGAAAAAGGGTCTCTCCCACATGAACAGTTTGTCTTTGTGTTTGATTTGTCTTCATCAGGCAGCACCAACGAGCATGACTAGTTAAATGCAGACTGCAGGTACCAACACGTTAGCTTGAATATTTACATTAAGGCGGAAAGCAGGAGGGGTTTTGCAGCATGATATAGAGTGTGTAGCTTTTAATTATTAAACATATTAGCATTAACACAACAGACACTGCTCTCAGTCAGCTCAGTGTAGTCTAACGACTTCACAACCGAAACCCTCTGCACCAACACGGTCTGGGAGGAGACCGGGCTGGCTGCATGGTGCACTAGGCCTACATTTTAATCTGTTGCCTGAGTTTCTGAACAAACAGGTTTCATTAGTGATCGCTCTGGAAGGAGTCGCAGGAAACCAGACACAATTGGGATTCAGAGGCTTTCAGCAGACTTTTTACTGCAGTTGTGAAAAATTGCATGGCAGGTCGATTTAAGGTGTGTGCCCCTACATTTCTGCCAGTGCCCCTAAAGTTTTTAGTTAGTGGCTACATTGCTCCTAGTAAACAAATTGTCTGGAGCCCTGTCAAATATATTGGCCCCTAAACTGAGAAGAACTTTAACAGTCTGATATTTCCCACTCACTCTGAACAGACCAGAAAAGGTTTCCTAGCAACAGATTCAGATCACTAAAGTCTTTACCAGCTGAGACATTTCTTAAGTTTTACTGGTGCGACCTGATTCAGTGAATCTCTAGTTTGAAACTCTTGTTAGTTCCTGAGAACTGAGTGAAGCAGAGTTGTTGTCTTGTGATGGAGTTTCTTTGTCTCCAACAGTTTCTCATGTTGTTTGAACTGTTTGTGTTTGTGTGTTCAGAGTTTCCAGCAGAGCCAGAGGTCGTCTACTCTTCACTGAGGTAGACCTTCACACCTTCACACCAGTCCAACCACTGATGTCCAGCTGGCCTGGAACTGGTCCCCAGAGCCCCTCACACCTCAGCACATCCATTTATTAGATTTCACAACAGAAGATTAAATAAATTGTTAAAATACTTATTTTAAAAGTTCAGTGTTTAACATTTAGTTTAGTGGTGATGGTTGCAACTGGTCACTGTGTATTCACGTGCTCCTCAGACGTCTCATTTTCTATTAATTCTTATTCCACTTTTATAAATGTAAAATTAAGCATTAAAAACTTTTCCTCCATGAGGCTGTACATTATATCTATTTAATTTCTGTATCCAGCAACAAAAAAGGCTGAAACAACTGTCAACATGTGTTTTTAATATCTGTATCTAGTGTAGTCTACCCCTTCGTAATGGGAGGCTTTGTTGTTCTGCTGTTAAGCTGGAAGCAGAGGTGGTACAACAAGCACACATAGCTAATACACATGTGAGCAACATTAACCTCAGGACACATGGTGTTTCATATGAACCACTGCACAGTCAACACGGCCCTCTGCTGGTCTCAGAGTGATGCTGCTTCTGTCAACAGGTGGTGCAGAGCAGCTCGGTCAAGCTGTGATTTCACTGACAGGACAACCCGTTCTCACTCCCTGACTCGTCACCGCTCGTCACGTATGGCGTCAAGAGCCATCGTCGTCAGTTTGTGACGCACTGGGGATCCCGCAGTTCAACGCATTGGGGGAAGCCGGCAGGTGCAGAGTGCGAACTACGGGGAAGAGAGACCATAAACTCCCCCAAAAACATGATTTGTGATATTTTGGGTGGGTCTCTAAAATATTGACAGCATGATTTATTGCCATTAATTTCTATATTTCTCTATCATCACGGATTCATGCGTAAATTGGCCCTGTCCGCTCCTCTCCGTCTCCGGTACTACGGGCTGTCGCTAGTACGGCCGACGCGCGGACTACTGCAGCTGGGGGCCCTCTGCAGCGCCACACAACTTTTCAAAATGTTTCCCTCTCATGGAGAAAAGAAAGGACAGGTCGCAAACAGCTGTTGTGTGAAGCTTAATTGTATAAATATAATAATATTAATAATTATATTTGTATAGGCTTATTATAATAATAAGACAAACATGCCACAACCACACTGAAATGTTTTGCGACTTTAATAACGCGCCGTTTCAAAATGGCGATGTTTGGAAATGCTAGCGTTTTATTTTGACAATCTAACCGGACGTTTTTGTTGTTAACTTTATCGGAAGTATCTTATTTGTTGTTGCTAAGCATTGCTAACTTGACTGTGGAGCCCTAAACGTCAATAAATGACGCCAAAGACCTTGAAAAAGCGTCAAAATGTGACGAGTCGGGAGTGAGAAAGTGTTGGACAGGATGAAGCAGAGGGCTTCTGAAGATGAACTTGCTGTCCATCAATAACCATCAGGGGAAAGAAACAGCAGTACAGTTCACACTCTCCTCCATCTGCCTCAAAGATCACCTTTCTCTCCCGTGGCGATGATGATGATGATGATGATGATGATGATCACCTTTCAGACATATTGACACACAGACCTGAGACCTGCTGTTCTGATCTGGTCTCAGTAACCCAGATGGGCTCTACTGCATGACATTCTGATCAGTATGTTGTCAGTACTACTAGCTCTACTACATGAGTATTTGAATAGGCTCAGTAAAGTAAAGACTGTTTTTGCCCTGCAGGACGATGAAGGCTGAACTTCATGACTCTGAGTCGTGTGGCCAGGTGTGCTGAAGATGTTTCCTCCAGACAGAATTAAATAAAGTATGTCTTCTTAATAACTAAGTGATATCCATGTCCCCCGAAGATGAATCCTAAGATTTTAGTAACTAAGTGCAAATATTAACCAAGAAGCCTGTGTCAGTGTTACTGCTGACGACTGTAACTGTGGACAAATTATGTTTATTAGTTCTTGTGCTCATATTTCTAACCCTGAACTAAAAGAGTCCGGGTCCGAGAAAAACAGACCTAACTACAAAGTTTGTTTCCCATCAGGTGATCTGATGATGTCACACAACAGGTGAGCAGGTGTCTCTGAGTAACACATGAGGAAAGTGACAAACAGCAGCAGCTTCATTTGAAAGAATACGTTTCTAATTATCTGAAACTGAAACTTTTATATCTAAAAAAGGATCATTTTCTGTCATGATTGTGACTTTTTAATGTGAAACACTTTTGATTATTCCTAACTTTATCTTTTTGTCTTTTTCTGCTATAAATTAGCACAGTAAGAGCCAAACACAGATCTAACGTTCAATAATTATGAATTATTAAACCAGCAGCATCCAGAGAGTAAAACTGGGTAAAATGGGACAACTGTGCCACCTGCTTTCATAAAGTTGAACCTGCTTCGAACAAGTATATCCAGCTGCAGACCGCAGACAAACATGACGGAAATTGTCGGAAGTTGAACTTCCAAATATGGTTTGTCCCAGAAGACACTAAGCACAAAACGTGATGACGTTAATCTCGGCTCACGTACAGGATAGTTCCTAATGCTAACCGTTTTATTCTTTAGAGGCCAACAACAGAAAAAACTTCAACTTTAGGCGAGAAATCAACTGTGTAGATTTCGAATATCGGCAGTTTTACGAAAATTGGCGGCAAATCGAAAATGTCTTATAACGATTTTGGAGTTGAGAATCTTTGCAAGTGCCCACTGGTGTTATGTAGCTGCAGTAACATTACCGGAGGCTGCACAGCAACACAATGGAGGTTAACCCTGTCACCGCTTTAGAGTTAACCGGTCGACATGCATACAATCAATAACTTTAGGCACACATGGTTAGGGTAAGAGGAATATACTAAATATAATATATTTTTATTAATTATTATATAAGTATAGCACTTTATATTATAGCAGTCCTGCATTGAAATGTGCAGGTTTTCTAAAGTGAATATATTTAACAATAAATCTTGTGATTTTTGGATGTGACCCTGCAAATGATAAGTGGGTAATGGATAAGTGGAGCTAGCTGGGAGAGGCTCACTTAACCTTACTGGGCATTAACTGAATTAGACTCTGCTGGAAATTTTCCGGGCTGTGAAAACCAGAAAAGCTTGTATTAAGCTAGTATTCTTCTCTAACAGATCTTTCTAGAGTTGGTTCATAATGGAAACAAAGAAGAGCAGCTGTACCTCTCGTCCTGTTTGATTTGATGTCTTTGATGACTATTTGTCCATAACTGACGTCTCCTGCTCCTCTCACTGCTGAGTAGACTGCAGCTGGATCACTCTCTGGAAAACAAAATATATACAGCTGATACCAGCACTGTTAGTATAACTACTGCTACTACTGCAGCCATTGTAAAAAAAAATGTATTCAGCTTATTATGCTCCTATTATAATCAATAATATGTATTTCTGTACAAGACACAATAGAAAATTGATCAATATGGTAGCAAATATCAGCATATAACTGAAGACAGACATGGAAAAAGTCCAAGAATAAAACTGAAGAACATTTTACATTTTTACAGGTTTCTTTCTTGTTCACACTGCTGCTGCTGTGAAAGCTGAAAAGAGACCAAACACAAGTGAAGTGGATTATCTGAATCGCAAACTTAACGGCCACAGAGCTGCTGGTTTTGATCAAGATAAGGGTTAAAATGTTCAGCACAGGATGAAAAAGTCGACGATTTTTAGCACTAGAAACAGCCTTTTGTTCATTTGAACACTCGGTATGTGGATGAATGACAATAAATTATCTTGAACTTGATGTCAGGACTTCACACAATTAAATTAAATCTAGTTTAATTTGTAACAAAACATTAAACTATTCATGTGTTTTTGTGTAAAAACGTTACTTTGTAAAGTAACTAGTAAGTAAAGCTGTCAGATAAATGTAGTGAAGTAAAAAGTACAACATTTCCCTCTGAGATGTGGAGTAGAAATAGAAAGTGGCATGAAACAAAATATTAGGAGGAGCCATGTCTAGAGGGTAAACATGTTGACTGTTTGTGAATTTGTTTTTAGCACCTTGGACTGTAAGAAATGGCATTTTTTTCACTCGGATACTCAGTAAGTGGATGAATGACAATAAACAAATAGTTCGAACTATGCAACTTAACGACGGAACTATGGTTTCAGGGAACTACGTCGCTTAACGATGGTTTGTGCCATGTAAGTTACCAACTTACTAACCTCCGTAGTTCAAACTAGGGTTTTGGGAAACAGTTGCGTCGCAACTGCATAGTTCCAACCAAGGAAGTTGGTTACTGTAGCAACGATGCTTTTGGGAAACGCACCCATGGAAAAGAAAAATGGTGATTTACTATTTACAAAATAAAAAGATCAACAAAAGTGGTTATGTTCATCATAAGATTTATAATTTATTTATATTATTTCTTTATTTTATTATAACAGTCCGTCAGTGAAACGTGCAGAGTCACGTCAGGCTGAAGTGTTTTTATCAGAAAGAGGAAACCGGACGATCACAGAGCTGTTAGCGTCTGTTAGCAGATCCATTGCAGGGCACAAAACAGACTCACATGCAACACACACAATCACTTAAAAAAGGCCAGACTTTAGAGACTAAACAACATTGATTTAACATTTAATTTATTTTGATGAACATACTTTCTACCATCTCCTCATTTTATAAAAATGTCCTCATGTCTCTTTCCAAAATGTCCTCTCAATGTCTAAAACTCAACTTGGTCCTCACAAAGACATAAGAACAAGAACACACAGTAACTGTCCCTGAAAAACAGAATCAATGAAACATCGTTACCTCTGCTGCATCTGATTGGCTGCTGTAAGTGACGTGATATTTTGACATCACAGTATCCCCAACTTCTACTTCAGCAGCTGAATGAATCAAAAGGAGCAGAAATTTAAATCAAGCAAGATCAGAGAAATCAAGAAAGCTCCACAGCTCACTAAACGGACCCTGTGGTGAGATTGCAACAACAGCAATGTGATTTATGAGAATCCTGATGGATGTCTGACTTAAAGAGACAGTTTGTAACTTGTCATTATTTGTACGTCCAGAAGTGTTAATAGAAATGTCTCAACAGTAAAATGTCACTGTTACGGCCCTTGAGCCCTGTGTGTCTGTCTACTTTGTAGACCCTCCCCGAGGGTACCTTAGCTTTTTTTTTCTTTATTGTAAATAAAACGCTGTATGTCCTGTAAAATCTGTCTCCTGGCTTCCTTCAACCTGGAATGATTCTATTATTGTCACTAACCTCCTCATCCCCTGGATTTTCCACTGGAGGTTCGTAACAATTTGGGGGCTCGTCCGGGATACTTTTTCTCAAACATTCCGGGTTGTGGGGAAGCACTTATTGTTTGTATTCGTGTTGGAACTGTTCACATTGAATGTTGCGTGTGGGTTTCCACTGTCCAGTTTTTCCAGGGTAGACCTTTCCCCAGCTAGTTAGAAGTGTCCAGCTAGGCTGCCCAGCAGTCTTTCCATCGGGCACTTGGTTGTTATTTTTCCTTTATTATTTTCGGGGCGAATCCTGGGTGGGGAGCGAGTTCCCTGTCGGAGGTAGGCTTTCGGGGCCCTGGCCGCCGAAGTTTCGCCTTTAAAGTCGCCTCGAGCCCGGCATGCCCCAGAAGACAGCTTAGGCTAAGTTTTGGGTAGGCAGGGCCCTGGGGAACGGGTTGCTCTTTTGAGGAAGCTGGTGTGTGACTGTTCTGTAGCCGATGCGGTTGTATTTTGTCTGCATACACTTGTTGTTGTTTACACTGTTGTGTGGTGTTACTGCTTCCGTTGGTGTTAGCCAGGTAGCAATTGCAGCAAAGATGGCTGTGTTTTGTTTGGAGGGGTTTGTAGCCAAACCCACGCTAGGGCAGCTGGATGGATGTAAGAAAGCTGATCTGTTTGCTATCGCTAAACATTATGGGTTTTCTGTGTCTAGCTCTCTGGTTAAAGCAGAGTTGCGGGCCGCTGTGACTGACGGGTTAGTGCAGAGCGGTGTCTTGAGTTTGACAGATTTGCCTGCTGGGGCAGCAGCGAGGCAGTCTGCTTCCGTGGCGGAGGATGTGCCCACGCCACCTGATGCAGCGGATACACTCGGTGTGAAGCCGGGCGGGGGGAAGCAGTTCACTCTGCCGAGATATTATCCATTGTCCGTGGAGTCCTCCCCTACCTCTAGAGAGGACGCACGGTTGAAGGTTCGTTTGGCTCGGCTCCATTTGGAGCGGGAGGAGCGCGAACGCGAGCACCAGCTCAGGAGGGAGTTGGAGCTTAGGAAGTTGGAGGCAGAAACCGCCATTAGAATGCGTGAGTTGGAACTGAGGTCAGCGCAGTTCTCAGCCACCGCTGCCGGTACTGGGTCATCAGGATCTGCCCTCTCTAGTACCTTTGATGTAAGTAAACACATTTCTCTAGTCCCTGTCTTTCGTGAGACTGACATTGAGAGCTATTTCACTGCTTTTGAGCGCATTGCTGTTGCCCTGAGGTGGCCAAAAGACGTGTGGGCTATCCTGCTACAGTGTAAACTGTCAGGGAAAGCTCAGGAGGCTTGCTCATCACTGTCTGTGCTGGATAGTCTCTCCTATGAAAAAGTTAAGAGCGCCATCTTGCGGGTGTATGAGCTGGTGCCAGAGGCGTACAGGCAACATTTCAGGGCTCTCAGAAAAGGGGTAGGCCAGACTTACTTTGATTTCGCTAGAGAACAAGGGATTTTGTTTGATCGGTGGTGTGCTGCATGTAAAGCCGATGATTTCTCCTCAGTTCCTCCTTGGAAGCGTTCAAGAACTGTGTGTCGGAAAAGACTGTTGTTTATCTCAACGAACAGAAAGTAACCACACTGCAGCAGGCTGCTACGCTTGCTGATGAGTTTGCCTTGACACACAAGAACACGTCTATCAGACATTACTCGTCCCCTTGTGATGATGCTGTAAGGAAGCCCAGCACCACTCAGGGTACTCGTGTTGGCTCAGGGGCACAGGTGGACAAGCGTTGTTTTTTTTTGTCATAAACCTGATCACCTTATTTCAGAGTGTGCTCTCTATAAACAAAAGCCCCAGCCTCCAGTGGCTAAACCGCCAGAAGGAGTTGGGTTGATTAAGACTGTGTCTCCCTGTGATCGTCAGCTGGCTGTAGGGGAACCTGACGAATGCTTCAGGCCTTTTATTTCTCAGGGACTGGTATCCCTCACCGTTAAACCTGATGATCAGCGCCCGGTCACAGTGTTGAGGGACACGGGTGGCTCACGCTCATTTATCTTAGCTAGCGTACTGCCATTGAACCCTCAATCTGCCCGTGATGTGAGCGCTGTAGTTCAAGGTATCGGGATGAGCTTTGTACCTGCTCCTTTACATTCTATTCATGTGCAGTCCAAGCTAGTGTCTGGTTTCTTTCCCGTCGCTGTTCGGTCTCATTTTCCTGTTGATGGTGTAGATTTTATCCTTGGAAATGACACTGCTGGTGGAAAGGTTTTTCCAGACCCAGAGGTGGTGGATACTCCTATCCCTGAAGTTGAATCTGATGAGTTGGTTCAAAAGCACCCTGGAGTGTTTTCGGTCAGTGTGTTGACTAGGGCGCAAGCGCGTAAGCAGACCCAAGGGGTGGATCTTTCAGATTCATTGTTCCCCTCTGTGTTTAGGGAGGACCAATTGCCCTCTAGTGGTGGGGCAGAGAACCGTCTAACACAGGTGCCTGTAAGTGCTGCCTCCTCAGTCACTGTTCCTGAGATAACCTTGCCATTAACCCGCGAGGTCCTTATCAATGCTCAACAGAGTGATTCCTCCCTGGCGAAATGTTTTGCTGCAGCTGGGTGTGATGCTAGTGAGCGAGCAAGTCGGCAGCATTTTCTTGTTGAGGATGAAGTGTTAATGCGCAAGTGGGTTCCTAATGGTGGGACGGCCGACGATCTGACTGGGGTTCGCAACACTGTTTGTGGTCGGGTCACCTAGGTGTCGCCAAGACTTACAACCGTGTGCTTAGACATTTTTTCTGGCCAGGCATGAAGGCCAATGTAGCGCGATACTGCAGAACTTGCAGTACATGCCAGATCGTGGGGAAACCAAACCAGATCGTGCCACCTGCCCCACTGCATCCAGTTCCTGCTGTTGGTGAACCATTTGAGCATGTCATTGTGGATTGTGTTGGTCCCTTGCCTAGAACTAAGTCAGGGAACCAGTTTCTGCTAACTGTGATGTGCGTGTCCACCCGTTTTCCTGAGGCTGTGCCCTTAAGAAAAATTACCGCTCCCGCCATCATGAAAGCTCTCACAAAATTCTTCACCACCTTTGGACTGCCGAAAGTTGTACAAACCGA